AGGGTAGCCACATCTCTTTATGGGTCCTGCCTGAACTTGTGGCTTCTGATCCCACTCCCCTATGCCTTCCAAACCTTTCAGTCCAGACAAGGTTGCATTCATTTTTGTGTATTCAGTCAAGACATTAATGATCCTGAGACCTGAGGTGCACTTCTAGAGACCTTCTTGTTGGGAGTCATCAACTTATTCTCTTTTCTCCCTGCCCACACCTGAGCTTTTTAGACCTAAATAGACAGAGGTCTTTGAGAAAATGGCATTTCTCTGCTCAGGCTCTAGGCCTGGGCAAAGGAGAAGGTGCTGGCACTCTCATTCTCTTCTACAGAAGGCCTGGCTTCAGCACTTGGCATTCCCAGCTAGAATGGAACTCCTTTGGGGAGAGGTTCTTCTCAAGTACTCGCTGGGGAATATGTGTACATCACGCCCCCTGTGTCCCGCCTCACTGTGGTTTTGTGGCCCAGGGGGTCAGAATCTGCCTATATCCCTGTTTTCCAGGCAGCAAAGCTGGAAGTACCCAGTGTAGGAGGGCGTGTTATACATCAGCTTTGGCGACTTTAGGTTCCAAAGTTTTCAGCCTCAGACAGAGTCTTCTCCCAGTTTCTGGGGTCTTGATGATTCTAGTTGGGGTTTCTGCCATTATGGTTCCAGTAGCCCCAATAGCCAAGGATACCCACACAGCCCTTAAGGCAGGGGCTTTATCCCATCCTGAGACCGCAGTACTCAGCATGGCCATGGTCAGTGATTCAAAGATAGTATCTATTAAGCCATAACAAGAGAACCTCAAACATCCCTTCAAACATGGCAGCAGGGTCATGGAACAGAGTAAGAAGGTGTGAGCACAGCTTGGATAAAGAAAACAGAACATCTTTAACTGAGCTTGGATTTAGTGTGGTTAAAAAGGAGCAGAGCCATTTCAGTGTAAGGCGCCCTGGGCGCTCTCCAAAGTGCTGAAACCAGCCCCTAGCTTCTTGTGACCCTCTTCCAAGGCAGGTCACACTGTAGGATCTCCACTCTGAGACTCCATCTTCTGACCCAGATTTCTCTCTGCTGCAGGAATAAGTAAGGTTCTCCAGCATCTCCTGTGGTGATCTCCCTCATGCCATTGCCCCATAGTTGTATCACTTTACTCTGTGCTGATCCCTAAACTCCTGCAGGCTGCACTGTTCTAAGTCCCCAACCACGGCCTTTCTAAAACTCCCACTTGGCTCCTACAGTCAGTCCAACTCAAGGTGGCTACATCCATGACCTGATGTTAATGGCATCTAGGATAATTTTTGGACTGGATCCTGGCCCTGAAGACTCACTGACCTAGTTTCTTTTCTGTTGCTGTGATAAAAATATCCTGACAAAAGCAACTTAGGGGAATAATGGTTTATTTTAGCTCAAAATTCCAGGTTACAGTCCATCATAGTGGGTAATTCAAGGCAGCAAGAACTTGAGGCAGCTAGTCACATCAGTCATGGGAGAGGGAATGAATGCATGCGTGCCTAACACTCAGCTCACTTTCTCCACTCTTATGCAACCCAGTACCTAAACCTAGGGAATAGCACCACCCACAGTGTGTTGGGCCTTCCCTTAGCAATTAATGTAATCACAGCAACCCCCACAGGCACACTCAAAGGCCAATATGATCTACGAAGTCCCCACCCACCCTGCCTCCATTTGAGACTTCTTCCCAGGTGACTATAGATCATGTCAAGCTGACCACTAAAATCAACCATCTCACTCACTTTAACTATTAGACACAAAAAATCCAAGACTGAAGGAAGAACTCAACTCACCCTAAATTCAAGGGAGGGCACCTTATCCTTAGACCACACCACTTGGTAACTTCTCTGCCATGCAGATAATGCAGACTTTTCATGAAAGCCCATCCTGGGCCAGTGATTCTCAAACCCTTCTGACCTTCAGAATAACAATTAAGGGAAGATGTGGAATATCAGGGATAATTCTAGATATCATTACATCTTCTCCTGAGGTAAGAAATTACACCTCAATGTCAGCCTTCCTCTTGAAGCCCAAGCTTCTATCCACCTACAGCCCAAGGCCCCACTCAGACGTTCTGTGACAGAGCAGTTGACACCCCCACCAAACCTGGGACTCCATAGAGGTCAGTTTCCTCAAGGCAGTCTTCTCTGTTTTCTTAGCCACTGGAGTCTTTGCCTTCTCCTTCTCTTTGGTCTTTTCCAGTTTCTCAAGCTCATCTACATAGGCATCATAGATTTCCCACTAGGCAAGAGCAAGACAGGACAGTCACCACAGGGCACAGCTTTCACTCAGCCAGCTCTTCAGCCTGCAGGAGTCGGTCACATTAAACCTTGTCAAGTGTCTCCATAGCACCCTCTAGTCACTGTAATTACACGTTCAAAGTCTGTCTTCCCCTGCTAATCACCCACTCTAGAACATGAAGGAAGGAGTTTTAAGGATTCCTTGGGGCTAGGCTTATCCACCCTGAAACACAAGGTATGAATCTTAAACTGGAAATCTGCGAATATTGTTCTAGGTTTCAACCTCGAAAGGAAGAGAAAATGTGCAATCACTAGGTAAATAATAGTTTATTGGAGACTGAACTAAATGTTAAAATACTTAAATAATCTTCTTCAGGTTGGTGAGATAGCTCAGAGATTAAAGGCCCTTTCCAGTAAGCCTGATGATCTGAGTTCAGTCCCTGGAACCCATATGCTGTCCTCTGACCTTCATGCAATGCACACACACACACACACACACACACACACACACACACACACACACACACAGATAAAGAAAAATGTCTGCTTCCATGAAAACAGGATAAACATATTGGCTCAAATTGGCCATCTATTTCGCTGCCCACATCTCAAGATTAAAAGGAAATAAACAGATACTCTGCCAACTGGACCTGAAGAAAGGAAAGCCCAAGGGCTGTAGCAGAAGCAGCAGCCAGGATCTGGGGTTGGGCAAATGCAGCAGCTCACACAGAGTGCTTCCAGACTGGACAGTCACTGCCACCAGGAGGCCAGATAGGCACACCTTACATTTGAAAATTCACCCATAGGCCAGTATCCACTCTGCACTGCACTTGAGCATTTGTTATCTCATTCAGAGCCTCCTACACCTCTGTGAGGCAGCTTATCATCCTTTATCGACAAAGAAAGAAACATAAGGATAAAGAAAGAAGTGAAGCATTCTGTGCCCAAGATCTCACACTAAGAATAGCAGAGCTTGGGCCTGATCTGAGCACCAGATCCTGTCCAAGTCAGCACAGCCAGCCACGAGGGCTTCATGGGAAGGAGGAGGGTCTGCAAGAATGCAAAAGGCTGCTGTGAAGGCGGTCAGGGTGTTGGCACTTTAAAGTCAGTCACAGGGTGCCACAGGCTGGCTCCCTAGGGCCCATGGGAACAAGCATTCTCCCATGCTCTGGGGAAGGCTCCAGAAGTCATGCCTCCAGCATGGACAGCCTTGCTCTACCAGCATGTGGCTGGTCCAGAGCCCACTCCTGGGGACCTATTGTGATGTGTCCAGTGTTGAGCACTAAGTGCTCAGGACAATGCTCAGGGAGATGGGTAGGTAATTAAGGTCGACTGGCAGACAAGCCCATAGCCACGCCAGTCTCCTCTGCTGCTGAAATGTCCCAGAATGCACAGGAGTGTGCAGACGGAGACCGTTTTCAGGCTGACCCAGGATCTTACCTGATTGGCTGTGGCTGAAAAGTTTGTTCTCGGTGGAGGCTCCATCTGGCATTCTCGATCCTGGAGAAGAGTGACAAGAGGAGACTCACAGATGGCCTCACCTCCCTCTCACTTAACCCAACAGTGCATCTTTAAGAGCATTTTAAGCCGGGTGGTGGTGGCACATGCCTTTAATCCCAGCACTTGGGAGTCAGAGGCAGGCGGATCTCTCTCTCTCTCTCTCTCGCTCTCTCTCTCTCTCTCTCTCTCTCTCTCTCTCTCTCTCTCTCTCTCTCTCTCTCTCTCTCTCTCTCTCTCTCTCTCTCACACACACACACACACACACAGAGAGAGAGAGAGACAGAGAGAGAGAGAGAGAGACAGAGAGAGAGAGAGAAGTATTTTAGTTGGAGCTGAGAAAGGGGTGGAACAGAGCTGGGAAAGAAAAGAAGGGCCTGGTGAAAGATTGAATTATTCAAATCCCACATTTGTTTTTCCATTCTGGCCTCCTTCAGTAGCCTAAGCCAGAGAACAGGGGCAGTGAAGATCAATTACACCAGTTTTTAATCAAGAAAAGGTCCAGGTGGGAGATGGACAGACTTGGAAGAAGCCACCCTGTCACCAGACACCATGCACAGAGGCCAGCCTCCTATAAGCACTAGGGCTAATGTCCCTTACAAGAGAAGGCTTCTCCCCAATAATGGGGTCTCTGCATCCAGCAGTGTAAGTTGCTCCCTCCCAATTATGTATCACTCCAACTATCCAACAATCAGCTTCAGGACCACACAGGATGCTGAGGTGCTGCTCAAGACTGACCCCGGAGACCTTGCCCTTCATCATAGATGCACTGCTGTAGAACAGTCATGTGAACCTGCCTCACTCCAAACCCTGACGGGCTCTCTTGGCCTGGTAGCTGACCTACCACAGACACCATCAACTCTCCTTACATTGTTTCAAGACTCCCCATTCCCCTGGCACACTGTGGCCATGATTTCTACTCCCTTTTCCCCATCTGGCCCAAGTCTCCACCTCTCCGTAGAGTCTGAGGGCTCTAGGCTTCCTCTGATGACTAGGTGGCTTACAGGGACTTGGACAGTTCTCCCTGGAGAGAGAAACTGTGTTCTGTCCTGTCACCCCTACCAGGCTCAGGCTTGCAAGGACTGGTCTCAGGCCCATGTCTGCCTTGCCATTGCATAGCACAGAGCTCCAAAGTAAAAGGATGTAGTGGGGGATCCGCCTGGGGGAGGGGTGTGGTGGGGATCTACCCGGAGGGGGTTGTTGAAGGTCTGTGATGCTCTCTCGCTGAAGTTAAACTGGTTAGTGAGTTTTCGTTCCTTGGGCTGCACGGGAGCCAACAGTTCTTCTTCAATCACCTTTTCAGTTGCCTGGAAATAAAGATCAGGAGGGCCAGGGCTTAACTGTGGGAGACAGACAGTGGGTAACCAGGAGTAAGGGGAAGGAAGCCCTGACCTGGTAGGATGGGGGCAGGCGAGAGGATGCTTCCCCACGTCCCCCCTGAAGCCTCTCTCCCTCCCTCCACAGCTGATCAACACCATCACACCTCTGCTGCAGCGGGCACATCTGTCTGACTCCCCACTTCTGTTTCTCCTTCTTTGGGCTCTTCTTCTTCTTCAGGGATTTCTGTGTCTGAAGTCACCACCTTGGCAGACTCCTGTGAGCCTTGACAGAGTATTGCTGATGAGTTCAGGGTCCAAAATGGCTCAGTCCCTGGCAGGGAGGGTCATCTTCCTGCCTGCCAGACCCTGCTGGTGCCCTGGGCTCTCCTGGGACTGTCAGGACAGCTTGCTGTTGGACACCAGGAAAATCAAGGTCTTGCAAAGCTCTGGAGGGACCGACTCCTCAGAGATCCAGGCTTGGGGCTGCACCTTAGGATGGCCCACAGTCCTACCTGCTGCCATCTCTGCCCGGTAATGCTGTCGCCGTCCCTCATCCGAGTCTTTGGGAATCAGGTTCCCCACTTGGCTGAAATGAATTGCCATTTGGTTCACAAAACCAATAATTTTGTACGCGCCTTCCTGAAAAGAGCACCAGAAACCCCGAGAGGGCTGGCGTCAGAATGTAGTGTGCCTTCATTCTCTAGAGCAGTGGTTCTCAATCTTCCTAACACTGCAACCCTTTAATACGGTTCCTCCTGTTGTGGTGACCCCATCCATAAAACTATTCTAATTGTGACTTCATAACTGTAATTTTGCTTCTGTTATGAATTGTAACGTAAATATCTGTGTTTTCCTATGGTCTTAGGCAACCCCTGTGAAAGGGTTGTTTGCCCCCAAAGGGTCACGCCCCACAGGTTGAGAACCACTGTTCTAAAGTCAATAGTTCACCTCTATGAAAGGAACTATATTTCCCAATCCTTAATGTTTTCTTTGAATTTCTGCTTAAAGAAGAAAAGACAAATAAAATAAGTTTTTTTTGTTTGTTTTGTTTTCAACAAAGACTTGTTTTAAAAATCTTTCTTTAGTCAGGTGGTGGCACATGCCTTTAATCCCAGCATTCAGGAGGCAGAGGCAGGCGGATCTCTGAGTTCGAGACCAGCCTGGTCTACAAGAGCTAGTTCCAGGACAGACTTCACAGTTGGGTCTGACTGTGTAGCCCACACTGGTCTGGATCTCTTTATGTGGACCAGGCAGGCCTCAAACTCAGAGAGCTGCCAAGCTCTGCCGCCCAAGTACTGGGATTAAAGGTGTGGGCCACCCCACCCAGCCTTAAAGCTTATTTTTAAATGTCCTCTGCTCCCAGACTAAAGTGGCCCACATTTACCCATCACTGGTTCAGGTGCCTCGTCTCCTGCATCCATGCCAAGGGGTCCCAGTTCACCTACCTCGCTGCCAACCTTGGGCAGGTCAGAAATAATTGTCCAAAACACCTGGCATGGCCTCGACATGCCACTTCAGTGGATGTCACAAAGAACAGAACATCAGAGACAACCAAATCTCCAGTTCCCTTATTTCTATCCAAGAGGATCACAGAGGTCCAGAGAAAGTTTGGGTTTGGCACTTGTCCAGGTCACATAGCAGATGAGAAGCAGGACTGGGCTTCAAGCCCAGAAAACCGTATTTGTTCATTCAACAAATAATTTTTGAGCAGCTCCAACATGCCAAGTATTTTCTAGGTGCCCAGGATACGAAGCTGAGCAACAACAGACACAGTTCCTGCATTTACAGAGCATGGTCTGGAGTTCCTGTGGACATCTTGTTGATTAGCCTCCTAGCAACCCAAAATGGAGTTGGAGACCAGAGGCCCCTTTCCTTCTTTTAAAACAATTCTGTTCAACCATTTCACATGCGGATTATATTTATGAGGCACCCTGAGATTAAAAGAAAAAATCTTGCTGGGAAGTGGTGGTGCATACTTTTAAACCCAGCACTCGGGAGACAGAGGCAGAAAGATCTGAGTTTGAGGCCAGCCCGGTCTACAGAGTGAGTTCCAGAACAGCTGGGATACACAGAGAGACCCTGTCTCAAAAAACAATGACAACAACAAAAACACAAAACAAAAACAAAGCCACTCAGATGGATGGGGGTGGGAAGCACAGTGGCTGAGAATGTGGTCTTTGGTGGCTGAACTGGGTTCAAATCCCCAGTCTACCCCCCTATTGTCTTCATGACCCCATCTTAAACCCCAAGGCCCTTGTTCCTTCTTCTATCCAATAAAATAATGATGTCCAGTTTGCAAGGTCATGTAAGTATTGAAAATAACGAAAGCAGTCCATCAACACAACGCCTAATACATAGCAAATGCCTGGTATTAACACTTAATGGGACAGTAACTGATACTATGATAGAGATCCCCGTGAGAATGAATGATCCATCCAGTTTCCCTTTAAGACTTCACCTCCATCCTGTCCTCAACTGCTGACTGGGAACTTCCTCTTCAATATAGGAATGGAATTTGGATTCTTGGGCACATCAAGGGAAAGTAGCAGCTTTGGGACCTAAAATTGGACCTTTCAGGACCAACAACATGGTGACGGTTGTGTGGGAGAATGTCTGACAGGTCAAAGAGATATTGAAAGCATAAATAAGGTGAGCTCTCCTGGGAGCCAGCTGGCAGTTCACTCAAAGGGAGAGCAGGAAGTGGAATGGGAAGGTAACACCTGCCGTGTAGTGTGCTTGCCACAGCCAGACCACTGCATCCTGGCGGGCCCCTATTTCTAATGTCAAGACAGGAGACAGGAAGGTCGCCGTCTAACATGATTTCAGGGAGGAAAGGCAAACTCTGTAAGTTGCTCAAGAGGGGTCATTAGCAAATCTCTTGAAAACAGCATCTTTTAGGAAACACATCCAGATTTGCTTCAGCATCTTTGTGTACGCAAGCTGAATAAGAAGCTCACAAGACACACACAGATGTTCATTATTTAGCAGCATTATTTAGAATTGCTCAAAGAGGAGACAATCCAAATGTCCATCAACTGAAAGACATAGAAAACACAGCATGTTCGTAGAATGAAATATTATTTGGCAATAAGAAGACATGAAGTATTGACATATGCTATAAAATGGATGAATTGGAAACATTATGCTGAATGAAAGAAGCTGATCACAAAAGATTAGAAATCATAGGATTCATCTCCTCACATGTCCAAAATAGGCAAATCTAGAGACCAAAAAAAATCACCCAGCAGTTCCCAGGGCTAGGGGAGATGGAGGGCTGAATAGTAACAGCTCTGAGGTATGGTGTTTCCTGTGGGGGAAATGTTCTAAGGCTGGCATGGGGGTGCACACCTGTAATCCTAGCACTCAGGAGTGAAGGTAGGAGACCAGGACAGCAAGCTTAAGGTCAGATTGGATTACACAAGATTCTGTCTCTAAGAAAAAAAACTGGGACAAAAATGTCTGGAAAAGGGTTGTGTTGAGAGTTGTACAATCTGTGGTGGCTCATGCCATTAATCCCGGCACTCGGAAGGCAGAGAGGTAGGGGGAATCTCTGTGAGTTCAAGGCCAGCCTGGTCTACAGAGTGAGTTCCAGGACAGGCTCCAAAACTACAGAGAAACTCTGTCTTGAAAAACCAAAATTAAATAAATAAATAAATAAATAAATAAAAATATATACTAAAAATTTGGGATGTAGCTCAGTGGTAGAGCGCTTGATCAGTTTGAGGGAAGCTCTAGGT